GCCGCCGCAGGCCGACGGGTGGAAGCCGGCGTGGTGGCCGCCGTAGATCTCGCTCACCAGTCGCTTCATCTCCTCCAGCGAGTTGGTGAGCATGAGGATGTAGTTGCGCGCCAGCAGCAGCGTGGCGATCTTGGAGAGCTTGCGCACCGACGGGCCGTGCGCATAGGGCATGACCTCTCGCAGCCCGTCCATGGCGATGTTGAGGTCGTGCATCCGTTTGCGCTCGCGGCTGTTGATCTTGAGGCGCAGCTGCTGCAGCTCGGGCTCCGTCATCTGCTTCTTGTCCTTTTTGGTGGACGATGTGGCCGCTGACGACGTGGACGACGAGGTACTAGATGAAGAAGACTTGAAGCCGCCGCCACCCAGCTTGTCCCCGGGGTGCGTGCCCGCCGCGCCCATGGCACCGCGCAGCTCTGCGCTTAGCTCAGGCGGGCAGTCGCTAGGCGTCGACGAGGACACGGTGCCCCCAGAAAAGCCGCCGCTGCCGCTGCCCTTGCTCCGAGCCGGTGGGAAAAGGTCATCAGGCTCTGGAGACGATGGGCGGCTGGACACCAAGCTGGCGTCCGAGTCCATGGCCCCAGGTGGTAGGCTCAGCTGGTGCAGGGTCCTACCCCCCACGACCCGGGAGCTTTCACTCACGCCTCCTGCGGAGAAGAGGGGAACAGAGGAAGAGAGAGCGAGGAAAAAGGGGCAGAGAGAAAGAAAGGGACTTAATGCGTTTGGAAAGACAGCGAACTGTCCCCGCCTGCATCGCAACGCTGCATCTAGGCTCCTATGGCCAGCTGCGCAGAGTCCACCTCGCTGCTATCATCGGCCTTCCATCCAGTGCCCCGCAAGTACCCAAAACTCATCTTTCGCGCGGCCTCCCAGCCCCGCACTGCTCCTATCCACAGGTTGTTTGATGCCACGGTGCGCAGCTGGGTGGCCCTTGCAATCACACCGGGGACTCTTTAAGAGTGGCGTCCAAAAGGTAAGGGCCTTCCGTTGGGAGTCGGAAAGTTGAGTATCCAGGGCTAGTGCTGAGGGCTTTTCTTTGGGGAAGGTGGAAATCCAAATAGAGAAGTGTGTCTTTGGTTCCTCAAACCTGGTCTCCGTCGACACCGCGCAGCAAACTCAGGCGCGCGCATACACACTTCCTGCGCGCCCGAGGCTCCTGGCGTCCCAGGGCCAAGGGAGCGGCCGGGTGACTGAGGTCTGGGCAGAGGGAGCTGGGGTTGTCCCGACTTTGGGTTTGGGGGCATAGGGATGCTAGGAGGATTCTGGGGGAAGGTCAAGGCGGAGAGGCCGCTCTTGGGAACTGGCGGACCGGAGGCCCCCACCATGAAGCATCGTGGGTCACAGCCCGTTGGAGGCGTCGGTCCCTGAGTTCCAGCCGAGTTGCTGGGGGTTAGGGACACTTACTGTGGATGCGATGCGAAGCGCTCGCTCGGAAAAGCCTCAGCGGAGAAATGGCTCCCGCCGCTGGGGTCGCGTAGGTCTATAATAAGCATCCGCACCTTTCCGGGCTCTGAGGGTTTTTATAGCCGCTTGGCAGCAGCCTCGGCGGCGGTGGCCGGGGCGGGGGCGGGGAACAATGTGCTTGTCCAGGAGGGGCCGCCGCGCCAATGAGCTGGGCCTGCCCTGGGGGCTGGGAAGCTGATGTCATCCCCGCTAATTCCGCTCAATGAAACATTCCCGGCCCGGCGCACGCCTCCTCCCGGCGCACAACCAATGGGCGCCCGCGGCCCAGAGATTCTTGGGGAGGGACCAAAGGAGGGACCCGGGAAGGGAGAACAGGAGGCAAAGAGGAAGAGGATGGCGGGTTCGCGGGCTAAGGAGCTAGGGCAGAGAGCTGTGGGGATCGAGGGAGAGAGAGACTGAACGTAGTCAAATGTCTCGAAAACTGTGCCGCCGGCGCAAGACTGGAAGTTGGCATGGGGGGCCGGGGGCGCTCCCGCGCACCAAACATACCTGGTACTCTACGTAGTCAGCGGAGAGCCTTGGCCGGCGATTCCGGAGTCCTTAAGATCTCTGTCACTCTCGGTGGGTTCCCTACACCTGTCTCCATCCCACGGTTCTCACCAGCATCTTGGCATTTTGGGCCCCAAATGTAAACAATGAGCAAGCATTAATCTCTCACTTGGCTTGCGTTAGAATCCTGCTCCTAGGAAGTGGACGCTCCCGGAGGTCCACGGGCAGCTGGTAGCGCCCCCAACTGAATACCCCCAGGGCAGAGGTCAGTCAAGGAAGGAGGAAGGAGCAGGACCGTGGTGCACCAGAATCAAAAGTTATGAAAAAAATCACAACTCTTCGTAAAGTTGAACGTGATGAAGGCGCAGGGATCAGTGATGGCCACACAGTAACCGGGTTGTGCTTACACACAGGCAAGAGGAGCCCAAGTTCGATACCCACGTCCATTTAGGATCAAGGAAACCTGAAAGTGGTATTTTTAGCATCACCTGCCTGGGAATCACTATGACAGTGGGGTCCGAGTAACTCTGGTTGGACTGAAAAGAGAAGTAATGGGCAAAAGTCTCCCCACTGCTTTAGACCAGATAGCGAAATCTAACCACTCGGACAGGTTTAAAACCCCAGTTCCTAAACCATGCGGAATCACTGAGAAGCGCCCCAGTGAAGTTCAGACATGCCAATGAGCTCGCTCATCTTACAGATGGGTGTGCAAGCCTTCAGAAAAATGGCTAACCCTGCTCAGGAAACTTCCCGAATTGCAGAGGAGATGAGTGCATAGGCCAATCCCTACAATACAGGCAGCTGCCTGGCTCCCTAATAATTGTTCTCATCTGCATTTATAGGTTGCTGGGGTTCCTGCGGATCCAACGCTAGACTGGCGTTGCCCCCACCTTACACTTCTCTCGGGGGATTGGTTACTGGCCTCTGGCCTCTAGCTACCTCCTTGTTTTAGAACTTTGTATTTTCATGTACGATTAAAACAAACAAACAAGCCAACAAATAAACAAAAATATCTTGCTTCGAAGTAATCAAATTACAAGATAAAACATAAAACAAATGTATCCACTTTATTCCCATCCCCACCCTCTATCTCCAGTCCCCAGTGAGTGAGTCTCTCTCTCTCTCTCTCTCTCTCTCTCTCTCTCTCTCTCCTCTCTCCTCTCTCCTCTCTCCTCTCTCCTCTCTCCTCT